GAAGGTACTGCAGTTTGTCAGCATTCCACAGGCATGTGTAATTTTAAAGTGAGATGTGTAAGGTATCTATTTACTGTGTAATAGCATCTTTTATATTTTCATCATCCGTAGATCGCTGATGCCATGCAGGTCTCCTGCAGACCTGTCAGAATATCTGCTTGCCATACAGGATGTACGGTCAAGCAGATATACTGACAAGAAGCTTCGATGAACTACCATGGTGCTCCAGAGTCATGGTAGTTCGTTAAACTACAAGCTGATAAGGATGCCGAGACTTGTAGGCACTCATTCACAGAACACTAGGCATGAGTGATGCAGCCATGTGGGTGGATCACCACATGGGCATGTGGTTTTCAAATCTAATAGTACAAGGAGAAGTTTCCCGTGTGTGTGTGGTGGGGGGCTGCGGCTATGGGAACATGTTACATGGTCCACCCAAAAAATGGGTGGACCATGTAACATATTCCAAAGGTGAACTTATCCTTTAAAAGCAAATAAAAATTTAAAGTACTTTCAAACAGCATTTGTCTAGTTGAATATACCGAGATTTTTTTGTACAGATATTCATGCGAGAGTTTGACAGTCTATGGCCAGCTTTTCTGATAAGATGTCTCTTTAAAGCAGAGCTCCAGTCTCCTATGTAAAAATGAAGTCAGCAGCTATAAAAACTATAGCTTCTGACTTTTAATAATTTCACAAACAGGAGCTGGGGAGGAGACCTTAAAGCAGAACTTTCCCTTTTGAGTGGCACTCTGCTTTAACTTGCATCAACTTTTTTTGCTTAAAGTTCAAAAAGCCTAGAAAAAGGTACCAGGGGCATTTCATGGGGCCCCCTACTGACCCCAGGCCCTTGGGCAGTGCCCGAGTGCTCGAATGGTCAGTCCGCCCCTGACCAGGTTAATGAAATTCTTCAGCACACCCGTAGTCTACTTCAGCAGTTTTTTATTTATAATCCGTTATGTGATATAGTTCCTAGTGCCAAAAGAACTGGACTTTTGTGTGCATTATGCGGGCCATAGACGGGGAGAAAACCGGCTTTTTTTTTTTTTTTTCTGAAAATCGAAAAATCGGTCGTTCAATCAGCCAACATTACCACTATTGGTAAAAAAAAAAGGTCGGCTGATTTTCGTCCTGTCTACGGCCGGCAATTAAATAGAATATATGCAGAAGAAGAAGGAATAGAATATATGCAGAAGAAGAAGGAATAGAATATATGCAGAAGAAGAAGGCAAGAATATATGCAGAAGAAGAAGGCATAGAATATATGCAGAAGAAGAAGGCAAGAATATATGCAGAAGAAGAAGGCATAGAATATATGCAGAAGAAGAAGGCATAGAATATATGCAGAAGAAGAAGGCATAGAATATATGCAGAAGAAGAAGGCATAGAATATATGCAGAAGAAGAAGGCATAGAATATATGCAGAAGAAGAAGGCATAGGCAAAGAAGAAGGCATAGAATATATGCAGAAGAAGAAGGCATAGAATATATGCAGAAGAAGAAGGCATAGAATATATGCAGAAGAAGAAGGCATAGAATATATGCAGAAGAAGAAGGCATAGAATATATGAAAGAAGAAGAATAGAATATATGCAGAAGAAAGTTTCAACATTGTATCTTTTTGTATCCATTTCGGATACAGATGTTTCTATTCGGAGACAGATACAATGTTGCTATACTTTTAAATGTCAAATATAATATTGGACTGAAATTAATGTTTTTTTGTTTTTTTTTTTTGCTTCTCATTGTCTATTTTTTTCCTTTTCTTCTTTTCCTTTCATGTCACTGCTCATGCGCATTTTTAAATATCGCAAAAAAATCATCAAATTTGTTCATTGCTGTGAAGATCGGCAGAACGACAAATTTGGACGATTATTTTCCAGCAGGACTGATAATCTAAAAGGTCAAAAATCACGAAAAATGCCCGACCGATTACCGCACTAACGATCCGAAAATCGGCCTTTTTTTTTGTCGTTTTTCATCTCATCTATGGCCTGCATTAGTCCACTAGTAGGCTAGAAAATCAAGAGGGCTTTTTTCCCCCAGGCGTGAGGCCTGACTTTATTTTTTTTTTTTTTTGTCTTAAATTACATTCCTCATGTTGGCAATTGTGAATTCCTTGAAGCCCTTTTCCTTTTATGCTCTGAAGATGCTGTTATCAAAAACCAGGATGTTCTTAAGTGTTATAGGATTTGATCCTGAGAAAAGTGATGTAATATGTGAAGGTGTCACTAGGCATCACCATCATATCTTGTAATGTCCTGGTAACACTGTAAAAATGTATCCTGGCATACAATGCTGAAAGTAGCACTTATTTTATCCTGGTGTGTAATATATTCCTGGCCAATAATGTCCTCCTATCTTGGAGTATTACCATTGTGGTCCTGCCCTGCTGGCAGTTGGCATCATGCTCTTATAGCCTGAATAACCATCCTAGGCAAATAGAGTATCTGTCAGCAGTTTACAATGGGTTGGTTGAGCTATTGGCAGCAAGTGTCCTAAAGAATATACATATGGTACCAGAGTTGGCAGACAGAAAAGGTTGTGTGATGTGGACTGTCGAAGGTTCTTATTTTGTGTTACTGAGTGATTTTAGGTATTGAATAAATTGGCAGTCCATACAATTGTGGTAACCTGTGGGTTTTTCTTTGAATCCCGGACAATTCTTCTATCAGTTATGGCTGCAATCTTTCTTGGTCTACCTGACCTTGGCTTGGTTTCAAGAGATCTCCAAACTTTCCATTTCTTATGTGATTTAACAGTACTGATTGGCATATTCAAGGCTTTGGACATCTTTATGTCCTTTTCAATCTTTATAAAATTCCATTACCTTGTTACGCAGGACTTTTGACAGTTCTTTTCTGATCCCCATGGCTCAGTATCTAGCCTAGTCAATGCTTCCACGTAAGAGCTAACAAACTCATTGGCTATTTATACACTGACACTAATTGCAATTTAAAAAGCCACAGATGTGGGACATTAACCTCTAATTGGCATTTTAACCCGTGTGTGTCACCTTGTGTGTATGTACCAAGGCCAAACATTCCAGGGGAGGGAAACTTGATCATGGCCATTTGGGTGATTTCTGTTATTTAGGCAGGCCATAGACGGGCCATTTATCGGCCGAATTGTCAGCTGATAAACGAAAAAATCGGTCGTTGCCGATGCTGCCACCATCTTCCATGAAAAACGGCCGTTGTTCGTGTATTTTCCAGCATGACCGATAAAAGTAAACGAGACGATCCGTGAAAAATGGCTGACGGGTGGGGGTCCACTAACGGCGTGAATATCTGCTGATTTTTCACCTGTCTATGGCCTACATTAAAAAGGAGCCAAACAATGATTTGATAATAAATGGCTTCATATGATCATCATCCTTCAATGAGAGCCTTTTTTTGGCATGATCAGTCATATTTGCAATATCAATGCCAAAATATCACAATTTCTGCCAGGGTGTGCAAACGTTTGCGCACAACTGTATAGGGGTATAGTTATGAAATGTCTGCTATAAGACTCCAGATTGCAGACCTGCATATTAAACTGTTCATCATTCATTTGATTTGTCATACATCCCTTGTCTTATGAAATGTTCTCTGCTCTTGTTTAAACATTTCTCAACTTTCTGGAGTTTTTCATAATTGTTCTATTTAGGTTATAAACAGTCCAGTCTGTTTTTTTTTTCTTTTTTTTTTTTTTTTTTTTGCCCTACACGTACTGTAAAAAAGCTAATAGAATGCGAGCACTCCCTTTCCAGCTACTAAAACGCTGGATAAAAACTATTGCCAGCGCTTTTTAACTTAAACCTAGTGTGTGTGGAGCCTAAATATTTAAAATGTCTGAAGTACCTAGGTACTAAGTTTTTTCATTTGTTGTCTGTATCTGTGCTTTCACAAAAGGTAGAAGTAGCAATTGTCCTTTACTGCAGACAAGATGCACAATACTCCTAAGATTCCATTTGACAAACTCACAAAATGGGTTGGAAATAGGGATGCACCAAAATTTTAGTGGCCGAAAACACCCCTTTCTGCCTGCTGAAATGGGGGGGAAAAAAAGCACCGGTGCAGGTGCCGAAAAAAAACCCTGCATCTCGGCACCACTTGGTAGTTCTCAGCCTTACCTGAGAAACCATCGAATGATCCCAGTGATGGGCATAGAGATAAGTACCAGATGGCCCCCACTCATCTCTATGCCTTTGGAGGACTGGAGCGATGTCTCTTCCGGTTCCTGACATTTTTTTTTTTTTCTTTTCTTTTTTGATCCAATGCTTTACATTGCAGAAGAGATGTGCGGTCTTATTGACCCCACATGTCTCCATAAAGAGGACCTGTCACTAATTCTATCACAAGGGATGCATGCATTTCTTGTGATAAGAAAAGTGATTACATTTTTTTTTTTTAAAGGGACAGTGCAAAAATAAAATAAAAAGTTTAAAGTGCCCCCATGCTCGCACGTAGTGGTGAACATATACGTAGGCCATACCCACATATATGTAAATTGTGTTCAAACCACACAAGTTAGATCGAACGTCAAAGCAAGAGCAATAATTCTCTCACTAGACCTCTGTAATGTTGCATTGCTAACCTGTAGAAATTATGAAAGTATCACCCATGGAGATTAAGTACCGCAGTTTCACACCATTCCACAAGCGTGCGCAGTTTTAAAGCGTCACATGTATCTATTTACTCGCCATAGCATCCTTTCATATTAAAAATGGTGTATATATGGTATGTATGTATAAATTTGTTTTTTTTTTTTTTTTTTTTTAAACCGCTTACCTACAGGGCACTCATACCCCCTTCCTGCCCAGGCAAACTTCCAGCTCTCAGCGCTGTCACACTTTAAATGACAATTGCGCGGTCATGCAACACTGTACCCATTTGAAATTTTTATCATTTTTTTGTGACCGCTTTATTTTGGTGGTATTTAATCACCTCTGGGTTTTTTATTTTTTCTTAAACCAAAAACCACTGACCATTTTGAAAAGGTTTTTTCTTAGTTTGTTATAAAATTTTGTAAATAAGTGATTTTTCTCCTTCACTGATGTGTGCAAATGAGGCTGTAGTGATGGGCACTGATAAGATGCACTGATGGGCAGGCACTGTTAGGTGGCACTGATTGGCATTGATGGGTGACACTGAAGGGCAGCTCAGATGGGCACTGATATGTGGCATTGATGTGCACTGGTAGGCACTGATATGTGGCACTGATGGGCACTGGCACATGGCACTGACAGGTGGCACTTCTGGGGCCACACTGATCATCAGGGCCCTGATGATCAGTGTACATGTCCCCTCCGTGGAATGCCGATTACCGGCTCTCCTCTCGAGCTGTCAGTGTGACAGCTCGAGAGGAGAGAAATGCCGATAACCGGCATTTCCCTGTTTACATGTGATCAGCTGTGAATGGACACAGCTGATCACATGACTGAGCTGACATCTTCGTCTCTTTCTGCCGATCGCCGCGCTTCCTGAGTCGCACATGCGCAGTGAGAATGGAAGGCCGTCAGAACGAGAGAACCACCTTGCGCCCATCATTGGACTATATTGCAGGAGGTGGTTAAATCAGTTTTTTTTTTTTTTTTTTTTTTTTTTTTTTTTGTTTTCCCCCCCCCAAAAAATATATTTTTTTTAAAAATTGTGTGTTTCGGCCAAGTGCATTTTGAATTTTTTAGTTTCGGCACCAGAATTCATTTCGGTGCACCACTAGTTGGTAAGGAACAGACTACCACATGCTTAAAGTGGATACCTGTTTTGACAGGTACTTGCTCCCACTTCTGGCTCGGTTCACCACAGTGAAGTGAGACAGAAGTTCAGCCTTCCTCCTTCCCTGAGTCTCCTGGGAACCTTCACAGGTCCCAGAAGATTGCTGGACCAAGCAGGATGTGCAGTGCGACTCGCACATGCGCAGTGGGTACCCGGCTCTCTCAGCCTGGTGCACACAATTGCAATACCGGCACCAAGGAGAGAGGACGGCGTGGATGAACACATTGCTGGACCCTGGAACAGGTATGTGTTTATTAAAAGTGAGCAGCTACAGTTTTTGTAGCTGCTGACTTAGTCACAAAAAAGGCTGGAACTCCGCTTTTAAGGTCACCTTGCTTTGGGTATGACAGATAAATACTAATCTAATATAATAAACTGCTACCATTTAAGGGGCATTGCTTTTTTATTCTTGGCAGATTTCCTTAGGTGACAGTAAGTTATGTGGCGTAACAATTTAAGCAAGCTTTCTTATTTCTCACTTTTGCAAAGTTACTGCACAGGCATGCTTCCTGTTTTTATAAGAAACTGAATGTTTTGTTTAGCAACTTGTTTTTGAAGATGTACTAATAGATTAGCAATGAACTGATAAGTGATAGCACAAGACACCAGCCCAATGCTGGCATGCACCCAGGATCATCCACTCCTCTCTGTATCTGATTTAGTGTTTTCCCACACAAAGGGAAATGAACCATCTGTGGACCTGCTATACACACTTGATGCAAACATTCAGTTTAGGCCTCTTTCACACAGGCAGATCTGACTGGACCCTCCATTCATCCCTATAATCCAGCGGGTGTCTGTTTACACACGCCTACCTCGGATACACTGCAGTGAGGAAAAAACCCCCCAAACACACGGAATATGAAAGTGGATCTATCCCCTTTCATCTTGGCAGATTGGAGGGCAGTTGGGTGTAAAAGGACAGCAGAGTGCATTTTATCCTGGCCACCCATAGAGCAGAGTAGTTCTGTCTGTGTCCGCTCTGCAAAAACTGAGCAGACAATTTTTTGGACCGGTCATCTGCTCGCTCTGATAAGCAGGGGATCAGCGAAACCAGCTCCTTGCCTGACTCGTATCCAGCTTAGATTTAAATTTGGTGTGACTGGGCATGGCTCCGCTCCACAGAAACATTATCCATAGTCAAGTCACAAGATCTGTGAATGGAAATACTACAACTCATCTGCCATCACGGCACTGGCATTTGTAAACCTCAAAGGGAACAAGTATATTGATGTCACTGCACTTGTAGTCTACTTATTTCTTCCACCAGTTTCACTAGGCATGTACCTTAGTACAGACTTGGGAAAAGGAACTCCCCTTCTTCCAGTCTCCCCCTCTTATCTCCTGATAAGACATATCGTGTGGAGTCACACTAGACATGCTCAGTTTTGTGTGTATTGCTAGGTTTTTTTTTTTTTTTTTGGGAGTGCATGTGATCAGCACAGGGCCAGTTGGCCCTGTCCAGACAGAGGTCAGGGGTCCTTCATCTTCCTAGAGCAAGAATGGAAACTCCTACAAGCTTTAACGTGCTCTGCTGGACACTGATAGTCACAAGACTTCTCTAACTGCTGATGAGAAAAGGTATTTAGCAGTTTATATTTACTAAAATAATTGCACTTCCATGTTCTGTGTACTGTGGGAGACCAGATATAGTGAATGCAGGGTCCTGGGTTTAGTAACACTAACCTCACCTAAATATGGCATCTCCTAAACATGCACTCTTTTACAGAGTTGAGTTTAGGAGCTTTGGCAAAAAACGCCAAAAGCTCTTAAATGCAAGTTTAGAAGCTGCCAGTGTACGTTTATCTGCTACAAGTGCTTTTATATGAAGCCTTTAGCTAACTAGTTTTAGTTCACAAGTTATTTCAAGTAGTTACTAGCTGTATTGTATCAATTGTGTGTAAATAGTCATGCTTTAGACCACAACGTTGTTTACAATACGAACTTCATAAAGAGGAAGCAAGTTCTTTTCAAAGTGAAGATTAGCTCATTGTTTTCAATGTGCCTGTACACACAGGTGCAGAAATATGCTGTGTATAGATCAGTAAAAACAAAACTGATATCGGAGTTGCTGGTCAGTGTGTGTATATCCACACATCTGCGTATATGGGACACTTGAAATACAGTGTGTGTTGTGTGTGTTTGTGTCTTTTTTTTTTTTCAGGAATGTCTGATGCGCAGTAGCTTAACTCCTTGGCGGTTTTCCCCGAGTGTAGCTCAGGGTAGAATTTCTATACCAAGAACGGTAACCCCGAGCTACACTCGGGCTTACCATGCAGCGTTCTCTGGGGGTCCCTGCAGAGCTTACCTTGTCCTTCGCTCCCACGATGGGTCCCCTGCAGCGTCCCCGTCCATCTCCTCCGGCGGATGCCGGCATCTGGCTTCCGTGTTCCGGTCCCCGTGACGTCGGAACGTTCCGTCGGCGGAACCGGCGGGAAATTTGAAATTTTTAAAAAATGACATTTTTGCTGTCATTGCGGTTTCACTGCATTTCACATACATTTTGTCCCCACTGCTTTGTCCTGTGCCCTGCCTGCATTTTGACTGTTCTTTCTGCCTGGAAACTTAGAAAAGTCCATGGCGTCTAAAAAGCGTTCCTTTACGTCAAAAGTGGTTTTAGAACAGCGATAGTAAATCAGAACCACTTGCAGAATTGAGTGATAATGATTCGTGGGGAAATTCGTCATCAGACACTGAAAACGATTTTGCGACTTTGCTCAGCGATGTGCGAATTTGCCTCTGTATTTCAAATTTCAGTGTTTTTGGTTTGATTATATTATATGAATTAAATTTATTATTATTATATTATTTTTTATGATTATTTATTAAATTATAATTTATGATTTCGTGTTTCAAGTTTTATCATATCCGGAATGTTTAATAGACTCTTTTTTGGATAGATTTCAGTGAGTTATTCCTAAAAATTACAGCCTACAATTAAAAACTACATATTTCCATGCAAAAAAAATGGTACCGCTTTCAGCACAAAAATTCCTGACATGATCATACCGCCAGGGAGGTTAAAAAATGAGCTAGTGTGCATGGAGCCTTAAAAAAAAAAGAGGTTTGTTTCATATATTTAGAAATACATAGTGGTCCACACTTTATGCTGATTAGCTGGGTTGACTGCTGGGGAAAATGGAAATGTCAAATTTCATTAGGGACCACACTTTTCAGAAGTCTTGATGTAGCAGTATTTGTATGCATTTGTTTAGTATTTGCAAATATGCAGTATACTGTACAACAAAAACCCTCAGTTTTGACCTAAATGAATAAATGGTTTAGGTTTTCGTTGTATTGACTACCTGGTTTCAGTGCTGAGGAATGTATGTACTAGCCCAGTGGACAGCAAGCCGCGGCTCGCGAGCCACATGCGGCTCTTTACACGCTTTAATGCGGCTCTTGTGTGCCGGGCGCCCGCTCCCCTCCCTCCTCTCGGGCGGCAGGGACTCTGCAGCGTGATCCAAAAAAAAAACAGCCAGGGCAGTGCGCTCAAATGCAATGATTGGCCAGTCTCACTGCCACTCACATCCTGATAGCCAGTGATTGGCTGTAAGGATGTGTGTAGGCGGGGCAGCGTGACGAACGTGAGAGGAGCTAGGCTCCTCTCACAGTCCGCCCTGAAGACCGGAACGGCGCGGGAATACGGCGAGAGGAACGCGCGGAGCAAAGGTAAGTGAAATGACACAGGGGGGACTTGGCTTACTACTTGCTACTTACTTTCTACTACTATATGGGGGATGAATTACTATAGGGGGGATGAATTACTATAGGGGGGATGAATTACTATAGGGGGGATGAATTACTATATGGGGGGATGAATTGCTATATGGGGGGATGAATTGCTATATGGGGGGATGAATTGCTATATGGGGGGATGAATTGCTATATGGGGGGATGAATTACTATATGGGGGAGGAATTACTATAAAAACTCATTGAAACTAAAAACAGTGTACCATCCTATGTATTTTCAGTTTTAAAAATGTGGCTCTCAAAATAAATTTCAATCGTGGTTTTGGCGAGATTTGGCTCAGTTGAAAAAAAAGGTTGCCCACCACTGTACTAGCCTATGTAGTAGTTTGCATTAGGCATTTTACCTCCTTGTTAAAGTGGAGCTCCAGTCTCTGGTGAAGAAAAGTCAGCAGTTACAAAAACTTTTGCTGCTGACTTTAACAAAAACAGCCACTCACTTGGCCTAGGATCCAGCGTCATCCTCACCACAGCCAGGTTTACCTGTCGTCCTGTGTGCCCGGCATCTTAAGTGTTGGCACTCAGCTGTGACAGCTTGCAAATACACAGCTGGGTGTCTACTGTGCTTGTGTGAGTGGTGCTGCGCATTGTGAATGGTCCCATAGTCCTCTGGGTGTAGCTGGCCAGCTAAGACCAGTTCTAGGTTAATATGGTTCACATATATGTGTATACCAAACCTGCCAATAACCTCAGTACAGTGTATATGTGCATATGTTAAAGCCAAAAGCAGAATCATTGCTGTAATTTATGTCTTTGATTGTTATGACATTTATATATTGTGTTAGCAGAAAAGGAAAATATGCCTTAGAGTTAGTATAGAGCTGAGCCAATCAGACAGCCTCACACTGTACAGAGCCTTAACCAATCCCAGCCAGTTTCACATTTGTGCCTGTGTAAAACTCCCTGCTAGATTGTTCTAGAGAC